CTTCCAGCTCCAGCTGGATTACCCATATCCTCTCTGGGTGCTACCTGGGTACCAGGCTGGCCCAGCACCACTTGCATGTCTCCTGGTGCAGCTTCACAGCCTCACGGCCATGGCCTTAGCAGCCCCACAGCTGTGTCCTTTGCCTGGCACAGGCAGCCAGACAGGATCCTCCCCCACGTGTGGGCTACCTCTGGGCAGCCTGTGGGGGCAAGCAGCCCCACAGCCTGACTAGCACAACTGGCGTTGGTGCTCAGTCTGGTCTAGCCCATGATTGAGGGCTCTCGTGGGTGTAGGGCACCTGTTTGCAACCCAGAGCCCCCAGAAACTGAGGCAACCCTGTTCTGGAGGCAAAGGTGAGGCACACTGTGAACCCTCAGGCACTACAGCTGCTACCCCAGGGTGTCATGGGCTGTGCAGATGTCCTGCAGCCTGAGCAGTGGGATTTTTGTGGGTGGCACCTTGTCATGCATACCATCCTCAACACCAGTTTGGTTCAGCATTTCCTTTAATAGATACACAGAGTGGTATGGATGTGGTGGGAGTGCTAGGGGGAGCCCCACCCCTCCGCACTGAGGTAGAGGTGAGCATTGCTCCATGCTCGCCTGCTTTGGCACCCTGGGGTGCGAGCGGGTTGGGGAGAGGCCCGCCCGGCACCAACGAGGTAGTTTGGAGTGCCCTGGCAGTGCCCTCCATCTCCCTTTCCCCTTGGCTGGGGACCCTGGTGCCTGGACAGTCTTTAGCAGTGGGGGGCACTGCTGGGCCTTCCTGCCTTTCTCCCCACCAAGAAGCATCTCCCACTCCACAAGCCCCACCCCGATATTAAGCCCCACCCCAATAAGCTCCACCCCCACCTAACAACCTGTCACATCTCACCGCCACCAGTCCCACCAGTTTCCCCAGTATATGCCCCCCACGAGTGATACCCCTGTATTGAGGACCTGAGGGGTTGAGGTGCCACCACCCTGGGGCGGATATGGGACACCCAGGACCCTTTGGGTGTCTCAAGGTGGGGGTAATGAGCCTAAGCAGCGTGGGAGGGCTGTGGCATGGGGTCTGCAGTGGGTAGGGGGTGTGGTATATAGGGAATGCAGTGTATAGGGATGGCAGTGTTTGCACTGAGGGTGCACACACATGATGTAATTTTGGCACCAAGGGTTTGTATGGGGGATGCAATGTGTGCACTGGGGTTGTGTATAGGGGATGCAGTGTGTAGGGGATGTGGTGTATACATCAAGAGTGCGCACAAGGGGAGACAGTACATACGAGATGCACTGTGTGCATTGAGTGTGGCAATGCTGAGGATGCAGTGTGTGCATTGAGGTGTGCATAGGGGCTGCAGTGCATACACTGAGGTGGGTACAGAGTCCACAGTGCATGTAGTGAGGTGTGTATAGGGGCTGCAGTGTGTAGGGATTGCAGCATGCAGGGCCTGGGGACAGCAGGGCAGGCAGAAGCTGTAAGGGGGGGCACCTGGGGGCAGTACTTGGGGAGGATGGTGTGTGTGTGTTGGAGGGCACACATGGAGAAGGGGTCTCACACATGGAGGGGTAAGGGACAAATGGGGACACTTGGGTGCCGACGCCCTTGCACGGACACAGCTCAGTATTGCAGCAAGAGGCGCCTTCAGGTCTCCCATCCCATCTCGGTGACCCAGTTGGGTCCCACAGCTCAGCCCCCAGGGTCTGGGGGATCCCCTGCTGCTTGCGGGGTGGGAGGGCGTCTCCTCTACGGTGAGGTGCTGGTGGGAGTGTGGCTGTGCGAGGGGCTTGGAAGTAGTGGGTTTGGGGTGGGCATGGGGTTCAGCCGGCTCTGGGTGCTCCCTCCACCAGGTGCTGGGGGTGCCTGGGGCCGGCGGGCAAACAGGACACCTGGGGAGCAAAAGGAAGGCAGTTAGGGCAAAGCCAGGATTGGGAGCTCCACTCACCTGTCCCCCAGCACCCATTAGGGGTTTCAGTCCCCTTCCATCACCCCCGGTGCCTCCCCTGGCCCAACCACCCTCATCTGCATGGGGCGTTTCCCAGGTTGGCCCAGGACTATTTGGCTGACAGCCCTGTGTGCTGATTTGCCCTGACCTTTCCAGCTGGTTAAATATTTAAGTACTGAAAGAAAATATATTTATTTTAATTTGGGTGTCTCGGTGGGGTAGGCAGGGAGCCGGGGGCTATGGGGTGAGCTGCTTAGACAGGTAGGTGCACACCAGCACCCCAAAGGAGCTTCTGCTCCAGCAAAGCACCCAGACATCTTCCACTGTGCCCAACACCAGCACTGCATCCATCCAGAGACCCTATGGGTACAGCAGCATTAAGGTGACCCCAAATTCAAGCTCCATCTCCAGGATTCTGTGGTGGGGGATGACCCTAGGTGCCTTTTTGCCGTCCATCTGTCCATCCACCCACCCCCCAGTTTGGCCCCTCATTGCTAGCTCCTGCTGGGGGACAATTTTCAGCCTTGCTGACCCCCTCCTTCTCCTGCCCCCTCTCCCCAGGCCCTGCCACTTCATTACAATGGATTTTATAGTAAAGACATCAGATTGAAGGAAGGACTTGCTGGCCAGGCAGTGGCTATAAGTTATTGGATTTCCTGGCCGCAATTACACAGGCCAAGCGGCCCTTCTATTTACCTGTGTAGACAACTCCATTTATTTCTATTGACATGTTGATACTGCTAATGCCGTTGGTGGACAGGTTCAATGCGGTCTCCTGTCTGTCATCTGGGGAAAGGAAATACCAATATGAGCATTAAGAGAAACAGAAACAAGAACCTGCCCAAGAGAGAGAAGCAAGGCCCCGGCTTCTCTGGGCATCCCAGCTCCTCTCCAGCCACTGCTGTTCCCTCCTGGGGTGCCAGGAGATGAGGTGACCCAAACTGAGGTGATGCATCCCCCTACCTCGGTTGGAGATCTTGACGTTCATGGGGAATTGGGAGGCCACAGCCAGGAGGTTGTGTTGCAGTGCATGTTGCACCAGCCGCTGCTGCTCCTCTGC